TGCCTCTCCGAAATCAGTACCAATAGACTTGCTCCAGGCAGGATTGCCACAAACCTTAAATTTGTTGGAAAAAAAAAAAAAAGCAGTCTCTGCTAAGTGCAAACGGAGGTATGCCTGTACAGTGTACATTTGTGTACTGTTTGACTTTCATCGTGGGTATTTGCCTGTTCTCTGGTCTCCAGGAAGCAAGAAGGCGCAGCTGCAGACCCTCAGGCACCCACGAGGGTGGCGCCCCCGCCCTGGCAGCGCCCTGGCAGCGCCCTGGCTATGCGGGCCGGGGGTGGGTGAGTGGGGAGCCAGGGGACCCGGGGAGGGGCTCCCGGCTCTCCCCGGTGCCCAGGGGGCCTGCTCCAGGTTGCTGGGAAGCAGCTCCGCGTTGCAGGGCGGGAACGTGCCCTTCCACCTCCGGCAAACTTTCGGCCGCCGCAACGGAAGCAGGAACTCGTGGATCACAAACCCAGGGCTGGGCGGGAGCTGCGGAGCCTGCCGGGCGTCCTCACCGAGCCCTTCGCGGATCCGCCGCTGCTTCCCCGAGCGCGCGGGACTGCCCTGCACCGGGAGGGCAGCAGGGCCCGGTCCTCCGGTCTCCAGGTAAAGGCTCTCCATCCTCCCCTCCAGCCCCGGCGGGCAGTATCGCCACCTGCGGGGGCAGCGGCGCCCGCCGCCCTTTCCCCGGGCGAGCGTCCTCCGCCCCTCCGGGAGCTCGGAGAACTGGCTGAGCCGGATGCTGGTGGCCCCCGTATCCCGGAGAGGGTCTTTAGGCAAGCCAGCAGCAGGGTTAGAAGAATGGTTTAGTGAGCCACGTACCTTTCCTCAAATGGCAGATTGCCCATTTTTTCTTGTATGATTTGTATCCTGTATTTATCGAACCCTCTATTGTCTAATACTCTGTAGAGTGTGTGTTTATACACAGTTATAAACATCTTGATAAATTAAGTTAGATTATGCTGTGAGAAAAATGATTTCCAATATTTGACTGATTGCAGGTACGATCCGGTAACTCTAGTCAGCAGGCATGAAAGCTCAGGTGCATCGTCTCCTTCCCACCTGTATCCTTTTCCCACTCTATTTCAACAGGATTCAACTTCACTTTGAACCTTTTCTTTTTAATTGTAAGCTTGTTTTGCTCTTTTTATTGTGGTAAAATAGACATCTGTAACAGAATGTATTATTTTGATCATTTTAAGTGTACAATTTAGTGGCATTAAGTACGTTCACATTTTTGGGTAGCCATCACTACTGTCCATTTTCAGGACATTTTTGGCATCCCAGATAGGAAAACTCTGTACCCATTAAACAGTAACTCCCCATTCCCTCCTCCACCAACCTCTAGTAACTTCAATTCTACTTTTTATCTCTGTCAATTTGCCTGTTCTAGATACGTTATATAAGTGCAATCATACGATATTTGTTCTCTTGTATCCAGTTTATTTCACTTAGCATAATGATTTCAAGATTGTAGCATGTATGAGAATTTCATTCCTTTTTGTAGCTGAATAATACTCCATTTTATGTATTTGCCACGTTTTAAAAATCTATTCATCTTTGGACCTTTAAAGCCTAAATAATAATGTATTAGAAGAACTAATTTACCTAATAATTGTTTGGTATCATTAATGAGATAAGCTCTTTAGTATTGCTTGTGATCCAGGAGCAATAAAGATGCTGGTACTGAAAGCACAGCTCCTCCCCTACATCCCCTGGCACAGTTCAGGTTTCTTTGCAGCAGCTTGAGGAGAGATTCTTAGAATCCATTCAAAGTGAAGTGTTGGCCTGGTTTTTCTTTTTTTGTTCCTGTTTTGTTTTCTCCAGTGACTTGTAAAGTGTGGCAGCATAAAAAGTAACTTGTGCCAGGATTCTTAACCTGGGGAGTCCATGGACAGTATTCAGAAAGTCTGTGAACTTGGGTGGAAAAGTTTATTTTGCTAACCTCTAAATGTAGTGTAGTATTTCCTTTAAGAGGCACGTAGGCAAAAGCCGCAGTAGTATTAGTGGTAGGGTAGCTCTGATTTGCCACCAGTAGAAATCATAGATATTTCCATGTCATGTTACTTACTGTATATATCTCAAAATCATTACATTCAACACTGCTTCAAAATTATGGCAATGATTAGACCTACCATCTGTTATTTATCACACAGTTGTTTTTATTTTAACTGAAAATGGAGGTAATGGGATCTAGCTTATAGGATTCTTGTAAGGATTAAATGACATAATATATGTAAAGTGCTTAGCATAGAGAACCATAAATGTTATTTTCATTTTACTGTTTTAGAAAGTTGGACATAACAGTTAGCAAGGAAGGTATAGACTTGTGCTGTATTACCATATACTGTTTTTTTAAAAAACTGTTTTGGTTTTTTTTTTTTTACTGACCAAAGTCTACCTATTTATATTAGGATGCACTCTTATGTCTACAGCTCTATAGGTTTTGACAAATGTAATGACATATACATCATTACAGCATCATATAGAATAGTTTCACTGTCCTAAAAATCCCCTGTGCTCCACCTATTCAGCCCTTCCCTTTCCTCCAGACAACCACTGATGTTTTGCTGTCGATGTGGTTTTGCCTTTTCCAGAATGTCGAAGAGTTGGAATCATACCTTTCACACTGGCTTCTTTCACTTAGTGGCTTGATGGCTTAGTGGCTTGATGGCTTAGTGGCTTGTGGCTTGATAGCTCATTTCTTTTTACTACTGAAAAATATTCTATTGTGTGGATATATCAGTTTGTTTATCCCTTCACCTATTGAGAGACATCTTAGTTGCTTCCAGTTTTTTGGCAATTATGAATAAAGTGCTATAAATATTTGTATGCAGATTTTTGTCAGGATTTAGTATTGTCAGTTTTTTGGATTTTAGCCATTCTGATAGGTGTGTAGTGGCATCTCATTGTTGTTTTAATTTGCAATTTCCTAATGACAATGATATTGAGCACCTTTTCATATGCTTCTTTGGTGAGGTGTCTGTTCAGGTCTTTTGCTCACTTTAAATTGGATTGTTTGTTTTCTTTTTGGTAAGTTTTAAGAGTTCTTTGTATATTTTAGCTACCAGTTATTTATCAAATATGTGTTTTGCAAATACCTTCTCCCAGTCTGTGGCTTAGTTTTTCATTCTCTTAACAGTGTCTTGCACAGAGCAGAAGTTTTTAATTTTAATGGAATCCAACCTATCAATTTTTTCTTTCATGGATTGTGCTTTTGGTGTTGTTATCTAGAAACTCACCTAATCTAAGGTCACAGAGACTTTATTCTATGTTATATAGGAGTTCTATAGTTTTGCATTTTACATTTAGGTCTATGATCCATTATGAGTTAATAATTGTCCAGCACCATTTTTGAGAAGAATATCCTTTCTCCATTGAATTGCCATTGCTCCTTTGTCAAAGATAAGTTGGCTGTGTTTGTGTGGGTCTATTTCTGGGCTCCTTATTCTGTTCCATTGATCTATTTGTCTGTTCTTTTGTCAGTACTACATTGTCTTGATTAGCAGTGATTTCTGGTAAGTATTGACGTCAGGTAGTGTCAGTCCTGCACCTTTGTTCTTCTTCGGTATCGTGTTGACTATTCTGGGCCTTTTTGCATTTCCATGTAAACTTTAAAATTGGTTTGTTGAGGGCTTCCCTGGTGGCGCAGTGGTTGAGAGTCCGCCTGCCGAGGCAGGGGACGCGGGTTCGTGCCCCGGTCCGGGAGGATCCCGCGTGCCGCGGAGCGGCTGGGCCCGTGAGCCGTGGCCGCTGAGCCTGTGCGTCCGGAGCCTGTGCTCCGCAACGGGAGAGGCCACAACAGTGAGAGGCCCACGTACCGCAAAAAAAAAAAAAAAAAAAAAAATTGGTTTGTTGAGGTCTATAAAATAACTTGCTGAGATTTTGATTGGAATTGCATTGAATCTGCAGATCAAGTTGGGAAGAACTGACATCTTAGCAATATTGAGTAGTCCTATTGAGGAACATGGAATATCTCTCCATTTATTTAGATCTTCTTTGATATCTTTCATCAGAGTCTTAGAGGCACATTTAAAAAACTTTTCAGTAATTATATTTCAATATAACTATCTTCCTTTGTAATCCTATATATTTCATTTTATACATTTAACAACATGTCTTTTATATATTTTAAAACATGTCAGAAGAGAGCCTAAGCATCACTGGAGTACCAAAGGGTTCATAACCAAAAAAAAAAAATTAAAGAAGCAGTAATTCTGATCTAGGCTATCATTTAGTGAACAATTTGTATTCTGGAAATGAAGATATTTTCTGGTGTAGCCTTGCCAGTTTCACATTTTTTTTTTTCTGGAAGTACCAGCTCACCAATGGAGTTGGCCTTATATGTATTATGACTTTTGTGTTTTTAGGGATGTCAGAAAGAACACTTGCCCCTACAGTTTCCTTCAACTGAGCCAGAATATTCCCCATGTTGATGGGCTAATTCCTAGAAGGACAATGTATGTAATTTTCTTAGCGCATTGCCTACCACTCAGTAGGTGATTTAAAAATGCTGATTGTTATTACTGAGAAAGAAAATATGTCCAAAGCGATGATCACTGCTTCATCAATGACCAATGACCACAGATTTTGTGTCCTTTCCCCTCCTGCTTAGGAGAGGCAAGAAGAGGAAGGATTCTAGAACTGAAAAGCAGACTACCTCTTCTTTCATAGATACTTGTCAGATTTTAAGCATTGATGGGAGAGTGTATGTGTGTGTGCTTACTAGCTTTCTGCCAAGTTTTTAATGAAAGGTTGTCTCAAATCTATTCAAAGTGAAACAAATTAAAAATACTTGTTTATTCCTGTCCTATGAATTGTGAGTTGTTTACATTGACTTGAAGGAAATGAAATGTATCTTCTCTAGTTTTGTTCAAAGAAACAAAACTCATTGATGATTGTCTGTTTTTGTGCTAGAGAGAAATTCCGTCATCTGTCCAATCTTCTTGAAGCAAACTCAGGCCAGAGGGACAGTTATCTGACCTTTGGAGACCAAGACTAATCTGAAATTTAAAATGTTCTTCCGGGAGGGATGGAGCTTGACTTACACTCGTGTAATAATTTGTTTCCTGACACTAAGGCTGTCCACCAGTCAGAACTGCCCCATCAAGAGTCTAGAAGATATGGTCATTGACATCCAGTCATCCCTTTCCAAGGGAATCAGAGGCAATGAGCCCATACACACATTAACTCAAGAAGAATGCGTTAATTCTTGCTGCTCAACAAAAAACATATCAGGTAAGTAATAATGCCTTGGCAACTCTTTATTCCATGTGTTTTGTGATGTAAGTAGCTGGTTGATGAGGCTGAATGGTTTGTACTGGTGATTCTCAATGGGGTAGAAAAGTGGGTGGCAAAATCATCAGGGAATGTTCCATGGTGTGCTCTCCCCTCCCCTAAGCTGAGCCAAAGTTACTGATGAGTGTATGTATATCACTCAGATATGTGGGTAGAAAAAGGGTTGAAAACCACTGGTGGTGTGTTCTAACAGGCGTCTGGGATATTGAGAACAGAAGTCCTATTTAAATGCTTGGCTTCCATCATCATGGAATATTGGAATACAGTGTGATATTAGAAAGAACGTTTAAACAGAAAGGGAGTTGAGACAAAAAAATAAAATTCTAAAGTCATCCCATAGGAGAATCAGCATTTGAGTTTTAAGTAGATGCACAAAATTTCCGTTCTATCTCCCTTCCCTGGAGCTGGTGGCACAGGTGAGTCAGGAAGCCACTGGCCACTAATTGCAGCTTCTAGGAATCTAAGAGGCATGGGAAGGGGTTTAGAATGACCCATTCCATGACACAGAAGGAAACTGAGCCCCGCAGGTTTGAACCATGCCCTTGCATATTTCAGGCTCCAAACCTATGACCTGAAAACAGAAGTATATATCTAATAAACAAACCAAAAAAAACCACATAAGTTTATTGAGCACCTAATGCCTTGGTAGGTGCTGGAGATAAAACAATGAATAAGATGGAAAAGACCTTGTCATCAAGGACCCTAGAAGAGCTAGTGAACACTGCACTCGTGATCCTTACTTGATTTATCGGCTGACCAAATCATATGTTTTCTCTTAGATCTTTATTTCCATTTCATTCTATAATGATTGTGGCATAAGATAAATACACGTTCCCTGGCACAGAGGTCCTAAAACCCTGGCAATTTTCTGAGCATAGGAGCTTTTTCTGTTATTCATAATGAGCCCCATTCAATCACACCTGAGCTTATGCTCACGAGGTGACTCTTGGTGGGACCCTCGATTGCACCAGGATGGCTGCTAGTTGCCAGAAAGACCAAGCTTTGCTTAGAAGCCTGGAACTTTCAGTCTCCTCCACCCACCTCCAGGTAGGGGGAAAGGGGGTGGAGATTGAATTCAGTCGCCAGTGGCCAATGACTTAATCAATTATGTCTACGTAATAAAACTGCCATGAAAGCCCCTAAACGATGGGTTCAGGGAGCTTCCAAGTTGGTAAACACATCGATGTGCCAGGAGGCACCCCAACTCCACAGGGACAGAGGCTCTTGCACTTGGGACCCTTCCAGACCTCGCCCTATGTACCGCTTCATCTGGCTGTTCATTTGTATCCTTTGTAATAAACTATAACGGTAAGTATTGCATTTTCCTGAGTTCTGCGAGTAGTTGTAGCAAGTTATGGAACCTGGGATGGGGGGATGGTGATAGCCAAGTTTGCCATATGTGTGAGTGACCTGGGGACCTGATACTGTGACTGGCCTCTGAGTGGGGACAGTCTGATGGGACTGAGCCCTAGACGGGTGGGGTCTGACACTCACTCCAGGCAGTTAGTATTAGAATCGAATTGAATTGTAAGGCACCCTGTTGGTGTTAGAGAATCAGAGAACTGGAGAATTTGGGTAGAAATGATACCAGGTATTTGCTGTCATGAGGAAACAAATACTACAATGATCTTCTCAAATTGAGCTGTGTGCTTTTGGACACTCTTCCTAGAGAAGGAATTTATGGAAGTCATAGAGATCTCATTGAAATTTCTAGTTTTTCTTTAAATGTTGGTATCAACATATATGTGGAATAGAAACATCACCTGCAAATAGGACTGAATGCCGTGTGGGCGTATCCTGGCAACATAGGAAACCTTGCATTTCTCTTCAGTTCCGTGATAGGTGTTTAGTAAGAAATGAGGGTTTGTGGCTTTATTCTACAAGCAAAAGTACTGTTACTGCTTTACTGTAAGCAGAGGTGCTTGTGGGTCTCAGTTGATGGATCTCAGACTTTTCCCTCTTTTACTGAGCGTTGGTTTTTGACCGTTTAGGTTTCCAAAAAAACACTTTGATAATTTGTCTATAGCCACAGACTCTAGAAAAATACCCACAAACACAAAGGACACAAAATTTTGTGTACAACTTGGACCCTACGGACCCTCCCCTTTACCTAAGTGCCCCCAAAAATGGTTTGTAGCATTATCACATCGTGGGGAAAGGAAAAGCCAAAGTAACCAGAGTACCTTTCTTGTTACCTGGCTAATGGAGACATGGTAGGATAAAACCCCTACAGAGACGAACTCAGTCTTATTTCCCATTGGGAGAGTCAAGGGTGATCCCTGACCGCTGCCTGATTGGGAGACAAACAAAAATGATAAGAGCAGAAATTTGAACCAAAAGAATGGTACTGATAAAAGTAAAAAATAGACTTGGCATTCCATATGCTGTGCAGCTCCATTGTGGAAGGAGGCATGATATGTATAAGGCTGAATTTACTGACCCTCCCTGCCCACCACCCTCCCCTCGCCCCACACCAAGAAAACCAGGCTGATGGCTTCAGGATGCAAGACGTAGGTAGTCGTTAGGGTTAGATCCGTTTCCTAAGGTCAGACTCAGAAGTGAGTTATAGACTCAGTATTTCTATGTATGTTTTGATAAATACTTTAGCAAACGGAAGGCTGCTTTCTAAAGAATGAAATGTACTATTAAAAATGTTTTGCCAAAATTACCTTCATTCTGATTTTTAAACCCAAGGTCTTTAAAAATTGCTTTCAGTGCCTAAACTAAGGAAAAGGAAATGACTCAGCGGCCAGCAGGCAATGAACAAAGGTTTTTGTGTTGGCCACTAGAATAAATGTTTTCCTGCTCGCCGTATTCTCTGGAAGATCCTATTTCAGAATAATGCTTAAGAAACCTTTCATTGCAGGGGGCAAAGCATGTAACTTGATGATCTTCGACACTCGAAAAACAACTAAACTACCCAACTGCTACCTGTTCTTCTGTCCCAGTGAGGAAGCCTGTCCCCTGAAACCAGCAAAGGGACTTATGAGTTACAGGATAATCAGAGGTAATAAAAACATTGTTCTTTGTCTTTTGTGATTGGAATTATTTAAGGATATGATTCATGTAGAAAGGTTTTCTGCAAGAGTTTAAGAAGAACTGCCAAAAGGGATCACAAATATAGAGGCACATCAGAAAAAAATCTCATGATTTAAAATTCAGTTGATTCAACCAAACATCTTTCTTTTTTCCAGTTAAAGTATTTAATACCTATGAATGATAGTATTTTGTTTTGTTTTTGTGTTTACCTTCTTAAGGTAAAAGGCACACAGATCTTTCATGTAAACATTTTGAAACACGTCTTTAGAACCGTGTTAGCAACACTGGAATAAGTCTACAGGTCTCCAGGGGTGACTATTTTGAAAGGGTTAAGACGATGTAAATAAATACCGTGTATAAAATTCCGGTACATTTGTCATTAGGTTCCAATTATTTTGTAATCACATTCTCTGAAATCAAACTCACTGGATTTTATTATCCAGACCTGGAAGGAAGCTCATTTAAGAAGTTTTTGAGAAAAAGCTACATGCCAAATTCTGTGCAAGGCATTGGAAATAGAGTCTCCACATTGGAAATTACATATTTGCTCAGAATACAGAAAATAAACAAGTAAAAATAATATAATTATTTGGATATGCCTTGGTGAGATTTTGGCTTGTTAATTTTTCAGGATGAAATGCTTTCAAGTATGAAGTTTACTATTATTTCAGTTTTATTAAGTTTTTGTCCTTATACCCTTAGGTATTAATAATATTCCCTGCATTTATTCAATAAGAAACAAATTTTATTTAGCATCTTCTATGTGCCGAGCACTTTTTACGCCTTAAGGATAGAAAGATACGACACTAAACATGAAAAACAAGGTTCTCATTTATGGAACTAATATTTTAGGAGAGAGACAATAACCTTAATAAATAAATAATCAAGAAAAATAGTCACCATGGACATAGAGAACAGACTTGCGGTTGCCCAGGGGTAGGGGGTTGAGGAGGAATGGAATGTGGGAAGATGGGGTTAGCAGATGTAAGCTTTTATATATAGAATGGATAAACAACAAGGTCCTAGTGTATAGCACAGGGAACTATATTCAGTATCCTATGAAAGGGCTTCCCTGGTGGCACAGTGGTTAAGAATCTGCCTGCCAACGCAGGGGACACGGATTCGAGCCCTGGTCCGGGAAGATCCCACGTGCCGCAGAGCAACTAAGCCCGTGCGCCACAACTACTGAGCCCGCGTGCCTAGAGCCCGTGCTCCGCAACAAGAGAAGCCACTGCGAGAGGAGCCTGCGCACTGCAATGGAGAGTAGCCCCCGCTCGCTGCAACTAGAGGAAGTCGGCGTGCAGCAACGAAGACCCACTGCAGCCAAAAAAAAAAAAAATCCTGTGAAAAACCGTAATGGAAAAGAATATAAAAGAAAGAATGTAGGACTTCCCTGGTGGCGCAGTGGTTAAGAATCCGCCTGCCAATGCAGGGGACACGGGTTCAAGCCCTGGTCGGGCAGGATCCCACGTGCTGTGGAGCAACTAAGCCCGTGCGCCACAACTGCTGAGCCTTTGCTCTAGATCCCGTGAGCCACAACTACTGAGCCTCCGTGCTGCAGCTACTGAAGCCTGTGCACCTAGAGCCCGTGCTCCGCAACAAGAAGCCACCGCAATGAGAAGCCTGCGCACCACAGTGAAGAGTAGCCCCCTCTCGCCGCAACTAGAGAAAGCCCTCGCACAGCAACGAAGACCCAACGCAGCCAAAAATAAATTAATTAATTAAATAAATTTATTTTTTAAAAAAGGTGGTTACCCTTAACAAAAAGAAGTATATATATAAACTGAATCACTTTGCCGTACAGCAGAAATTAACACAGCATTGTAAATCAACTATACTCCAATTAAAAAATTTAAATAAAAAAATAAAAGTGATCATAATAAAATGAAACATGACCTTTATATAAGAGTATATTTTCAAAGCAGAGAAAATTAAAACATAAAATTCCCATTTAAAAAAATAGTCATAAGAGCTATGCAGATAATTGAGCTAAGACAACATAATAGATAATCACAGAGGGACTTCCCTGGCGGTCCAGTGGTTAAGACTCCTCACTTCCATTGCAGGGGATGCAGATTTGATCCCTGTTTGGGAAACTAAGATCCCGCGTGCCACACAGCACAGCCAAAAAAAAAAAATAGTCACTGAGTGGACCGGCTGGATTAGGTGATCAGGGGAAGCGTCTGTGAAGATGTAACCCCTAAGCTGAGATCTGAAGACGGAGGAGCCGGATGTGAGAAGATTGTAGAAAGACCTTCCAGGCAGAGGAAACAGCCTATTCTAATATCCTAAGGCAGAATGGTTTGGGAGTGTTTGTTCAAACACTCCAATCTCAGCAGCTGACTCATAGTGAACCATGGAAAGAGGGATATGCAAGAAGGAAGGAAAGTGGGGCCATCCCATCAAGCTCTTTAGGGGTAGGGAGTTTTTATTTTCCGTGCATGATGGAAAGCCATTGGAAGGTTTTCAGCAGGCATGTATAACGAGCTGTTTTAAAGGTGATTTCTCAAAGCTCACTGTGACTGCTCTATTGGGAATGGACAGTGACGCAGCAGGAAGAGGGCATGTGGGAAGACTGGGTAGGAGGCTGGGACGAGATCCGAGTGAAAGGCCGTGGCCCTGGGGACCAGGGAGATGGTGGAAGAGATGGAGGGAAGTAAACACACGAGCCATTTCAGCGATAGCGTTGACAGGGCTTGCTGGTGGTGTGGATGTGGGGAATGAGGAAAAGAGAAGGGTGAAACTGAGTCCTAGTCCCGGGCTTGAGCATCTGGATGGATGACGGTGCTGTCTACTGAGCCGGGGAAGTGGATTTGCGGTTGGGAGGGAGAGTGCAATCAGGGTTCTCTGGGGAATGATGCTGCCCGGGGCATCCGGACACTGACTCTGCTTTGTCCCCTGAGTGAGGCTGTCTGAGTTTCGTTCATGAAGCAGGAAAACCTGATGTGCCAAACATTCCCTTAAACAGGAGCGTAAAGCACAGATTGCTTGTGTAAATTCTTCCTACATAGTGGTAGAAGCCCAAGTCTAAAAAGGTTGGCAGATAAGGTACAAAGTTTCACTTTTGCCTGATGAAAAATTCTGGAGATGGTTGATGGTGAGGGTTGCACAAACTCAATGCCACGGAACTATACTCTTTTTTTTTTTTTTTTGCGATATGTGGGCCTCTCACTGTCGTGGCCCCTCCCGTTGCCGGACGCGCAAGCTCAGTGGCCACGGCTCACAGGCCCAGCCGCTACGCGGCTCAC